TTACGCTTGGCCTGGCCTGCCTCCCCCATGCTTGGCATTCATGGCTGTTAAAGACCTCTGCTCAGACAGATACACTGAAGCCTCGAGTAGCACTCAGCACATCAGGAAGATCAGCCAAGCAAGTGTTACTCTAACGGCGGAGTTTCATGCTCCAGTAACGTGACAGATTCTCAACAGAGGGAAGTGGATTATTTATTTTTTTTAATCTAATTTTTATTTTTTTTAACTTATAGTTTTAAATGCTAAATATGAATAGTCTTTAGTTCCTCTATAAAACCTGCAACTGATTACAAATTCACAAAGTCGTCTTTTTACGCCTGTTTTTATATTTTTGTTTACATTACTTACAATCCCATCTTAATCTTCAGATTAAATTCCAATCTGAGACCTGCCCAGCGATCAGGTAATGAATATTTGTGTGAACAAGACATAAACAAGGAGTCTAGCACTCTGTATCACAACAGCAGATTCTAGATGTATCGTGCAATGTCTTCTTTAGTCGGAAAGAAACAAAGTGTGTGTGTATGGCAGAGTGAGCAGTGAGTGATTCTCACTGTTATTGTGTCATCTTCATGTCTTTATTTTAATGTGGAAGCCAGAGTTAATGAATATCACAGAGTGGAGATGAAATCTGCCTAGTCTTCACTTTAATGAACCTTGAGAGGGTCAGGATCTCCATCTTGATTGGGACAAGTGATCCTTGCCTCACACACACACACACACACACACACACAGACATGAACACACATGAACACGCACACACATATATACATTTACACATCTATATATATAAAGGAGAAAGACACAAGAAACTCCATCCTGTGGCTGTTTTTAGATTTGTTTCGTCACCCTTTAAATCTGTGACTATATTAAAGTTTTGCTTCAGTGCAGCTGAGCTTTATGCTCTTTTTTTTTTGTCCGCTCAGATGATCCACAACGGCTGCTGGGTCACTTTTTGTGAGCTCCACGTCCACTCTGATCAAACAGTAGCACATTATCTGAATATTAAGGTCACAGAGATGGAAAGTTCACTGCTGTCCTGACCACGCTGTTATGTTTTTATTTTCTTATATTAATCACTTTTGAATAATCTCATTACCAGTTCATATGATGATCCAATGAAAATGTTTTTTTGTTGTTTTGTTTTGATCAAAATGCGTGGATCAGTCGAGCAAGTTCCCAACCAGGAGCAGAGCTCAAAAGCTTTTCTGAGCAATAACCAAGCAGAATGAAAATAAATTAAATGAATTGTCTCACGGCAGCTTTCATAATTTGATTTGCTCGGCATAAATATTTGCTCAACAAGAGCACTCCACTTCATTGCACCTGTTTTTGTTTTTTTAAATCCCCTGGGCACGATTGTGGAATAAAAACAACCTGTGCACCAACATAGCCCGCTTTGTCCACAAAAACTCAACAAATTACTGCGCTCTGCCATGACACATGTTTAATCCCAGGGGAATAAAAGAACATCAGATTAGGCACAAAAACAGAGCCATCGGTAAACAGGGATTAGGAGATCGGGTCTTTAATCTGATTAATATGGAAGCAGTTGGAATATTAGAAATGTTAGTCAACACTAGTATTCCAGATGAAAAGATAATCACACTTTACTACGTCACTTATTGTCTACTGTCAGAAATTACAGAGATAAGCACACTACCATATGTTTACCTGACCTTAGGGAATCCTCGAATGGGGGGAGGCGTTTCCATAAAAATGAATTAGGAGCTCATGTGGGAAGTAGGAAAACATGCAGTTAGTGCACTGATTGTTTTTAAGTATTTGAGGAAACGATGGCCGAATGTTTCAGTATTCTGAACCCAAACTCAGTCTCCTGCAGTTTTTATCTCAGATGATAAAATCTGAGATAATAACCACAATCAGGATATTTCAATCTTGCTTGCATGAACTGCTCAAAAATAAATGCCAAAAAAAAACTTTTTGTAAAGAATTAATTGTCACTCGGGTTGATTTGGTACCTGAGCCAGTGCACATTTATCTTTATATACAATGTACGACCAAAGTTTTTTCCTGTTATTGATCCAAGTGAAATTTAATTTCAGTTTACTTGTGTATATTTTGATGATAATGTTAACCCTCTTTAGCATACTTCACATACCCCGTCATTAACAGAACCTGCCAGACCTTGGTATGGTAGAGTGGACACTTTGTACTTTATGATAGGTGTTTTTGATCCACCTTTTCTATTAGTGAGTTTAGAATCACACTGCAAATACCTTTAGGACAGATTCATCTTTATCAACATAAAACTTGAGGCATGTTTTTGTATCTATAATATCTAAAGTAGGCACATGAGAATCCACATCAAGAGTAAAATAATGCATTTGGTTTGTGAATTTTACTTGTCAAGATATAGTAAAATACATAAAAAGTACAAAAATGAATCCCTGTATCCTGATATTATTATTTTTCTATGCAGTTTTGTTTTCCACTCACGTATGGCTCTGTCTCACCCCGGGGGAATATCCTCTTCAGGGCTAATGTGAATATTAGTATGGGTTAAATGCTCCAATCATTTGTGCATTAATGCATATTGCATAATTAATGTTTTTTGTGAAGTCTCGGTTTTCTAACAGCGGGAGAGGGAAAAATTCTGTGTTCAAACTTAAAAGGTGGCTTCGTCCATGTGTTACAAGTTGTAACTAGCTTCCACTTTTGATAACGGGCCTTGCTGAGCAGAAATAAGGTATTCAGTACTGTGATGGGATCAAATGGGACACTGTAATGATCCTGTTGTCGTAACAGCTCATCCTGCACACACAAACTTAGATCGGAGTGTGACAGAAATCATGAAGCAGGGATAAGATTGTATCTTCATGACAGTTAAAGAAATATAAAAAGGGGCTTTTGAGCTGAAATCATTAGCAGAAAACTTGTATGCACATTCTTTCCTTTTTTAGTTACTGTGTTGGTTTTCTTATAAATTACCTTGTCTTATGGCTTTTAAATGCTTGAATATACTTCCACACATTTCTCAAAGTCTTCGAGGTAAGTTTAGTTACAAATTGTATTGTTCTGTTTCCACGTTTCTCAGCAACGATTTTGAGGGAAATGTATAAAATATATATGAAGAAAACATGACTATGTAAACTTACAAATAGATGTTTTCTAGTTTTCTAGTCCACTGGTGTAGGTTGACAGCTAATTAAATGGTTGCATTTGTATTAAAAAGCTAAATCTTTTATAATATTTTATAATATTGTCACAGGAGATTCTGGTGGGAAATATAGCCTCTGTCCATGGTACTTAAAATCTTTGCGTCACAGTTATGAAAAATATTCTCAGAAAAGGATTATTTGACTAAGGTATTTCTATTTAAATAGTAACACTAACACTATTTTTTTTAAATGCATCACATTTGATTCAAAAGGTGTATCCCTCTTCCACTAAATGTTTGTCTGAATTTGAGCAACGCAGTTAAGAAATAAGTCCTTGTTTGGGAATTTCTAATGTGGACTTCAAATTGAGGGGGAAAAGGGGGGAGTTGCTCTGAGTACAGATGATGGTTGTAGTGATTGAAGACACCAAATCTGTAGCAATGAGCAAAGTCATAATAACATTTATTAATCACATTCTGGAGCTCTAATTGCCTCAATGATGTTTCATTATGTGATGCCAGTTAATTCAGGGGCAGTTTTGATGCAGACTTTTGGGGGAATTTTTGTAACATTACACATTATCATGGAAATAGATCTAATAATTAGAATCAAGGTAAACTGTTTTTTTTCTTTTCCATGGAGCCCTGGGGCTATTTACAACCTTCACATCTGGCCTTCCCTTCTAAACTAGAGTTATTTTAAAATCGACAAAAAGAGATGCCAGATTGAATGGCGTTGGAAAAGTATTGAACCTCTCGTTTCTCTTGTGCTTTACACTTATGAAAAAAGCCAAATTACTCCCAGAAATAACCATGAACTGCATTGAAAGTTGTAAAACCTCAACTCTATTTTAGATACGCGTCAATTACAAACCAGAATTAAAAGCAAATCTTCCCTGATTCCATTCACACTGTATCAAATGAATCAAAAGCTCGTTTCTGTTGTTCAAAATATTTTAATAAAGCTTTGAACACTCAGTTACATACAAACGGCCCTGTTTGCTCAGAAAATGACCAACATATCTACAGTAGTCCACAACCTGACCTGACAACGCGATTAATCTGAAGACTTAATGTTTGAGAAGAAAAAGGAGCGCAGTCAGTACACCAACTAGACGACAATGGAAGCAAAATACCTATCATAAATATCCCAATTTATAAATTACAAAAGACACGTCGAAACAGCAGACAAACCTTGATTCGGCTTTCATATTCTTTTCTCAAATTTAATTTGATCACAATGCCCCAAAACTGGATGCAGTAAACATGCGCACTTTCTCACAAAAGTCCGGATTAGCACATAAATATCGGATCGTTCGGATCATTTCAATTTGTCATCAGTTACTTTTCTGATTCACAACATTCCATGTGCTAGAGAGAGAAGTTAATTCAAACAAGCTTTGCTTATATAAAAGAAAATTGTCTCTGATATGGATTAAAGAAAAACCGCAAATCAACGAGAAAGCAGCAGAGAAAGTGAGGTTGGACTAACGCTCACGGGAAGGGGTCCATCTATTCAAGTGAAAATGTCGCGAGTTGTCAGGTCTCCCCAAGCTCCAGTAAAAAGTCCATCACAGAGCAAGTGATCAACAACACTTGCAGCCTTCACAGGCCTTCATCTGCTTGTGTTTGGTCTCCACTGTCATTCATACCAGCACTTTAAGGATGATTTATTTACACAATCAAGTATTGTTTCAACAAAAAAGCGCGTTTAATGCGTTTAGTAAGTATTATAAAAGTATTCGTCGGTATTACTTTTTGTCTCTAGTCTAGTGACTTCAACAACAGCAGTCTCACTTGTTTTTGTTGCGTTCCAAAAGTGTCCTCAAAAGTGGGGTCTGATCTCCCGTGTGCTTCTCGGAGTCTTTGTCAGTCGCTGTTAAGGCTTGTCAGTGCACTGTTTGCAAAGGCTGGAGGTGGCGTTGTTGAACAGGGCACATTTATCGGGGCAGGAGGACGCAGCCACTCCGGAGGGGAACGGGTATCCGGGCGGCTGCTCGTACGCGCCCAACCCGGGAGCCGCCAGGGCAGTGGTGGCTGGTATCGAGGCTGCGGAGATGGCTTGGCCCTGGTTGAGATACGCCACCAGCCTCCTCATCTCCTCCAGTGCCTGCGCCTGCATGAGGATGTAGTTTTTGGCGAGCAGCAAAGTGGCAATTTTGGAGAGTTTCCGCACGGACGGGCTGTGCGCGTAGGGTATGACCGCTCTCAGCTCATCCAGCGCGTCGTTCAGGTCGTGCATCCGTCGCCGCTCTCTGGCGTTGATGTTAAGCCTCAGCATTTTCTGCTCTTTGGTTTTCTTACCTCCCTCGGCTTTTCCCGCGGGCACCGTCCGCCCGTCGCTCAGCAGGACCATGTCGCACCTGCCGTCGCTGTCGTCGTCGGGGCTCTGCTCCCCGCCGCTGCTCTCCGCCGCCGACGTCCTGTTGGCACTCTCCCCGTACTTGACGCACAAAGATCCGGTGGGTAGACCCAGCGCGCCCCCTCTGCCTCCCGCCAGTCCTCCCGGCTGAATCGGGTCTGGGTCAGCCTGGTCAAAACAGCTGATGGGCGACTGGCGGTCTCTGGGTGGCAGCTCAATGCCGGCCGACGATCTGAAGGGGTCCATCTTTTTGGAGGACACCGCGCTGAGAGTTTTGTGGAAAATGTCTCCTGCGCCTCCGTTCAAGTTCATCCTCCTGTCCATGGCCTCGTGGGTTCCGCGTCGTCACAGGCTGCGGTCGCCTCTGGAAACTCTGGACGCGTCTCAGCGAGTTGGTCCCTCTGTCTGCCCCTCACGAGTTGAGTCGCGTGTCAGCGGGGAAGTTTCGGGACTGGCTCCACTTGTCAGCTGAGGTGTAATGAAGAGGAGGAGACTCGTGAAATAAGTGCTGCTCTCTCCTGCCTGTCCCCCCGTCTGCGTCTGGTTCACCTTCACTTTGTCTCCACGATGGTCCTCGTTACGCACAAGACGCTTCGGTCTTTTTACATCATTATCTCGAGGCGGGTTATTAAAAAGGATTCGCCTATTGGGACGGAGACGCCCTCTCCCCTCTCACACTTCACCCAATCAGGTTAACGTTTTAATTAACGACGTTTAAAGGATGACAATACCGCGTGCGCTCAGTCCCCTCCTTTGACAGAGTGTGTGTATGTGTGTATTAACCATGTTTCACAGTGTTTTTGGATGTGCGAACTATTGGCTCAGGTTTCATTCACATTTGTCTGTTTCAGGTGAGAAGTTCCAAACCAAGGCATGTCTGTGATCACTGGTTTGTTGAGCAGTGTGCATTTTATTGCAGTCAAAGAAGCTCTGTTTAATCTTTGAGTAAAACAGATTTAATTATCTCTGAACTTAACATTTATTAGAAATAAAATATTTTGTTCCTTGAAAAAGAAACGCAAGGCTTCTACAGAAGGTAGTTGCATTCACCATTATTTCTCTCTCAAAAATGTAACCAATTTTTCATCCCTTTTTTCTACTTTAAGTGTGTTGTGTGCCTTCCCTTGACTGTCAGATTTTCTATCACAAAGCCCGTTTTCCTGGGATAACATAGTTTTGTTCATACTGCCATCTTATGGCGATAAGTGTATGGTACATCAGATAAATGACATTTTTCGGTCCGCTGTCCACACAACTATTCCTTCAATAACATATTTCTTAGGTTGAAACAAAAAAGTAAGCTGCTGATCAAATCATATTTACATGTTTTAGATCAGTCATTGTGATTTCCTACACCAGCAGGACAATGTGTAGCTATATTCACCACAAATCACAGCCATATGCCTCAGCTGTACAGGATTGCAGTTTTATGAAATAAAAGAAAATACAACCAAGAAGGCATCAAGCTCTCCTGTATGGAATACTAAATCTAAAAAGAATAGAAATAATAATCCTTTGCAAAACCATGGAAATAGTTTCTTCTTTATCACATCTTTATCATCTTTATCACAGTGCTGTCTTACCCCTTGTCCTAACGTTTCTTAATTTTGTGTCTGACATCAAATGTAGACTGATGATTTGTTGAGTTAAAAAAAAAAAGGGACAATTGCAGTTTTCCTTATTCACATTTCTAAATAGTCCCAACTGTTTGAAGATGTTGCCTGTTTTATTTTGTTAATTTATGCTCATCTTACTACTGATCTTCATTTCATGGAGTTTTGTTTGAACTAAAGTCAGTATTCGTCATGGTGATTTAGGGGATCATGTCTTGGATTGGATCTGGAATGTATGTTAAAAGTCTCTGAATTCCCAGTTTTCCTACAAATTCTGAACCTGGCCATACAAATTGAGGTAGACTGTGGATGAATAACTGTGAACAGATGCATGTCATGCAATTGTTACTCTTTGTTCTTTCCTTAGAATATGCAACCAAGACACACACGCACAAAAAAGAAAAACAATGTTTCTGTTCACGGTGTCACACCTAAACTCCATAGTCATGCCTTACGTTCACTTAAGCCCCAGGAACCTCACAGATGATTTTTTACCACATTCAGATCGACCAACTCTGTAAAATTCTTCTCTGCTTCAGATATTTTAGGCACACAATAACTTGTTTTGTGATTACTTTCACCAAGAAACCTTATAAAGACCCTCAGTGCAATGTGTTAGGAATGAAAACCATCTCCATATCCATCTCCTAACAAGGTACCGGGGTGCGTTGCCATGGCGTATACGCAGCACACATCTGAGGTACCTTCAGCAGTGATTACAGCTGACCTCTGCCAATTGAACCCATTGTGAATATGTTGTGGATTTTTGCACACTCTGGATATGGTGCCATGGCAGCTACGCATTGTGGAAAAGGAAAGCAGCTCAGCAGAGAAGGCTGTTTATGCTTCTCTCAGTGAATCACCCACTGGAGACGAACACATTTGCCAAAGAATTTTGTTCCCATCTCAAGCTCCTTCTTGAAGAAAACGGCCAAAAACCGAGTCAGAGCAGAAACATTTGAGATATTTTCATGAGAAAAGATGCAGTGCCAACCTTTACAATTATCTGAACCTGTTTGCTAGTTAGCTGCTCTATTAATTTCAGTCTAAAGTTCATGACAAAACCTCATTTAATCAATCCTTAATGTCAGTTATATATTAAGGTGTGAAGGAAAAACCGGTTATTTTGTTATTAGATTTAAAAGAATCCTTCTACCTAGTGATAAAAATGGCCGACATAGAACTGTATACGTTTTTAGGCATAAAAAAAGATTTTACATTGAGATATAGTCTGTTTAAACATTAAATGAATAACATAATACTTGATCTTTTGTCCATCATGTGAAATGAAACACTGTGATTCTAATCACACTAATATTTAATACTGACTCTTTTCCAGACGTGTAACCCAGTGCTGCAGAAGTTGAAAGCAGCGGGAGCAAAGGCAAATCCTGTTTGCCCTCCTGGACCTCAGCGCTGGTGTCAGAGGTGCTTTATGGAGCTGCTTCAAAAACACATTCCACTCCACCAATGCTCCACGCATTCAAGGTCAGTGTTTTAGCTCTTTTTCCAGTATATTTCAATTAGCTTCTGCCCCTCTCAGGAGCAGAATACTTGAGGAGTTATGATCTAACGAGGGGCACAGACAGTCGCTTTATCCTGAGAACACCTTCATGGCCAATCGGGTCTGGCTAATGAGACAAGATGGGTGAGGACGGTGCCACAGCCATTACAGTCACAGTGTTCGTCAGCACTTTGCTAATGAGAGCATGAAGGCAAAGCTGGAAGAAAAGAGAACAAGCTCAAATTTAGTTAGGGAAGCTGAAAATCACCAGGAAATTAAATCTTCAGCTCTGTGATTTGTTGATAACTCAACGCTTTGTCACCTGATGTGAGCAAAAATGATTGTGCTTTACAGTTTGATCAACAAAAAAGGCTGACATTTTTTGTGTTGTATGCTGTAAATGTAATGTCTATTTCCTTCTGGAAAAATGGCATCTGTCACGCTAGTTTACACTGGTTTAAACTGCCTTATTAAAAGCAGATTATGGTTATATGTCTTGAAACATTTTCAAAGTGGGGCCACACTGTGGTGCAGACATTTTTCAGGGATGTGGAATCTAGGATCCTGACGACTTGTTTGTCCACTCTGTATAGTCTCCTCCAAAGAAATGTGTGTTAGGTTAATGTGTGGATCCAAATTGACTGCAGGTATAAATACAAAGAGTGAGCGCACGTGGTTGTTTGTGTTTCTGTGCAAGTGAAGTAGTGGACCAGCAACTAGCCCAGAGTGTGGCGCCCAAGTGAGGCCCCAGCAGCCCTCAACCCTCTGGGTGTGATAAAGCAGCTGTAGAACGGTATTTAGTCATTCATACCACAAGAGGGCAAGCAAGGACTTGTGGTAAATTCTAGCCAAGAAGAACTGAGGGGAAGCAAGAGCACAATGAGCGTTGCTTTGTGGCACCCTCGTGGATTTAATTCAACATGAAGATTTTGGTTATCAGCAAAGGCCATACTGCCAAGCTGGGAATTCAGATATAAAGTATCTGTTTTGTTAAGTTGTGCTCTATATTGAGACCCACCAATGTGGGATATTTATAACATGGTGCGCAGAGTAAAGATTTACTCTGTTGGCAACCAAGCTGTAGCTCCGTTTGTAGTTATTTTAATATGGCTGAGTACCTCCCTTTTGGCAAAAGCTTGTGCTTACTGTTTTTTGCATTATGGCTGATCAGTGATCAGTTATCACTTGATCAAAAGCAGTAGGTGTCAGCATGGTTCTGTTGTCACCCCTGTTTAGAGCTGTCAGAGCACCAATGTCTCTAATTCAAGATTGATCATTTTTATGCTGATTTCTTATTTAGCTGATTCAATCATATAAGAGAAGAGATTGTGAAAAGATTGAACAACCATTCTCTATCACCACCAGGCCGCTCTTCCATCCGTATCTCACTCCCACCACAATTCTCGGATGATCCACACAGACCCGGATCATTAATCAAGATCAGATTATGTTCTGCTGCTAAAGTGTTTCTATAAATGGAGCCATTGCCCTGTTCTGTGTGTAGTACAAACAAACCTGCAGTCGGATTCTTTTTTCTTCTTTTTCTAATCTACCTCAGATAGTTGGAAGTAAGCCATGTTTTCATTTTCTCTGTTAGAAAATGTCAAAGTAATACCTTTGTAAAGAGACCTCCTTCGTTGTGGTCTTGTTTAGGGATAAAGATCACCATAGTAGGTTATTTTTTTCTTTCATCATGGCGCAAACGCCTCGGTGCTCCCACAGTCCATGGTCTGCATTGATCTCTGGAGTCCAGGGATGTGTTGGACCACACTTTCAGATCTCTTGATGTGCACCAATAGGACATATGTCCACAAAGGTTCTGAGAAGTCCTTATTTATATGTCACACTTGCAACATATTTTTGGGAGGAGAGCACATAAATTACACTTCGACATCCCCATCCTGAACAGATTATCTTGGTTCTTTTTAGATACTGCAAATGGGTGGTGTAATTAAAATGAATATTTTACAATTTTCTTTTAATCTACAGATTAAGGAGGTGGAAAATATCTTTACATTTGTAGACTGTCCAATTCTACGGCAAATCCTAGAAATTCTAACATTAAAACAAAATCTTTACTTGCCTACAATACACTATCTTTCAATGTAGTCTCTACTTTTTGCAGTCAGTGAGTGCACTGGATTTATAATGCCAAAGAGCCCAGACTGCATTCCTACGGTACAGTTAATAGATTATCCATTTCCGCTTCTGCACAGGCAGCCGGCAGCCGGCTGAAACAAAAGGCTGATCTGTGGTCCGCAGATTTTCAGCACCACAGAAGGTGGACAGCGCACCGCGCAGTCTGTGTGTGGATGGACAGCTCCATCCGGCCCCCTACACACACCACTTATGTTCACATGAATCTGAAGCTTTTGAATCATTGTGTGCATTGACTTTATTGTTAAAAAGAGACAGTACATGAAATGATCAGTTACAGTGCAAATCAGAACACACATTCAACAAGGATGACATCAGTACATCGATATATGTCGACAGTATATATATATATAATTATTATCAATACATAAATTGATTATACACTTGCTTAGGTGAGCAGACATACGTAGAAAAAAAGGATCAGCTCTTGGCATTCACCGCGTGCCTTAATTGTAAGACATTAAATCAAGGTCCGCTGTGAACACGGAGAGACAGAACCCGCTCGTCTGAGTCTGACTTTGAATGAATGTACATTTGAGCGCGTATCCATCGCCAGCTGCATTTTTTTCCTCTGCGGTAAAAAAAAAAAAAAGACGAAATCTGGTATCGTTCCGTGAAACTTACTATCATACCTACAGTCACACTGTTATGCAGCTTCCAAGACCTTTGCGTGGCGACTTGAGATGTTTTGGGATGTCAAGTACGTTAAAGAAATAATCCACAGCATCCCGCAGGGATCCAAATGGACCAGATCCTCTCTTTGTTGCTGTAAAGGCCTACCTTACGTGTAAAAAAAAAATCAGTTGTAGAAAGAAAAAAAATGCTTAACAGGAATGATTGAGACAACCACTTTACAGGGGAAATATGTTTACATCCCAGGCCGCTTTTGTAGATAAATAGGGATCCGTTGTTGAGTTTCCGTCGCATAGAGCGCATAGGAACCATTCATTATACCACAGTGCACCTACAAAAAAGCAAACACAAAATACATCATGAACGTCACATTAAGTTGCAAATATCAAAATCTAATATTCCACATTGATCAGAGAAGAAAAACAGCTCTTCGCTTCCAAAAATAGGAAAGAAAATTGTCCACGTGCTGTCTATTGATTTCTTTCGGGTCACAATGTTTTTTCCCCCTTTCCGAACACATCCATACACACATAAGACCCAGAACTCGCTGCCGGGTCACACGTTAAAAAGAAATTCCGCAAATCTCAAAACCGGGCCGACGAAGAGCCTTGGAAACTGCGGGTGTCCACGCGCGTCCAATCGCAACCTCGTACTGTGGCTGTGCGGCGCGCGCCCGGCACCGACAAACCCTAAATGGGGCTGATCTCTCTCCGTCCGGTCTTTTCCTATGACTTTGGGATTAATGGTGCTCCAGCCAAACAAATGAGGCATCTGCCTTTCAGCACAAGAGGATTGGGATGGCTGGGGTGGGGGTGGGCTGGGGGATTGTTGACGTCACCAGGCAAACAGATGTTCCTCTATATTACCCAGTGTCCTCATCATCACTACGCCGTGTCCTTGAAACTAGAAGGGAAATCGACGACTTTCCACCATGAATTATACGCTATCGTTGAGATTCAGTTTAACTGGGGTTTGCTGAAGTCTGTGCGCGCGCGACTACCAACGCCAACAATGGTGCTGCGACTTGCGAAGCCCCAAATCTCCCAATTGGTTGTGAACAGTTATGCAACATTGCACTATTTAAGAAAAAAAAAAGGGAACACGTTACCCTCACGCAAATACAGGATCAGTCGGGCATGCGCACTTGCCCTCTCTCATGCACTGACTCGAACAAGGTGATTAAGGGAGATGCTTGTGTCTAGATTGTGAGATGTTAACAAATGCTGCGTTTGGCGTCACCTGGTGAGTTACAGACCATTCAAAAGGTGCCCGAAAAGGCGGTGAGACCGGTGACATTCACTAACCTACTGACTGCACAATCTGCTGTGATGAGCTTATACCTGAGCACTGTAAAGCAATAGATAGATGGCCTTTTATTGTTTACTCAAACATGGAGAGACCCTATTTTCTTTACTTATGCAAACTTAAGAGGACACTGGCAGAGATAGGCGCTCCCGTAATGCAGTGGAATCTGGAGTGGTGCAGACCTAATCCAGCCCACTGTCACTTAGTGGGGGAAAATGAAAAAAGCCTATATATCAAATAAATCACGAGTGGGCTGGCTGCTCTGCAAGTTGAAGCTGTATGAGCTCATGAATACACCTTAGCAGGTGACCACATCCATTTTCTCCCATGAAAGCGACCGTGGGGCGAAGAAGAGACGCAGGCTAGTACATATGGTAATTGCAATGAATTACCCCAGCCGATAGAATAGGGATGAGCCGGGCACAGAAACAAAGGGACTCGCCATTTTAGACGGAAACCTTCCCATTGCCTTGAAAGCCGGGCGACTCTCCGGACGTCATTTGGGAGTTGAATCGCTGCTCGTCAGCACATCACTGGGCGATATTCGGGGTCAGAGAAAACGACCCCCATTGTCCTCAAACGCCGCACGGCTAACGAACGACGCTGCTCCGAAACCCACCGTCCTCTCTACCTTTCTTAATGATTATGCAACCGTCGACGTGAAACTATGCGCGGACTGCAGATTGTTGGGCTTTGCCGATGCTTTTGCTGCCCCCCCCCCCC